CAGTGGATAGCAGCTGGATTCTCCATTCTCTCCTCCCTTTGTCATTCTTATTGCTTCTCACCCCGCACACTCCCTCCTCAGCAGTCCCAGCTGCCTCCCACCCTTAGTAACACTCCTGCATGCTATACAAACACACAGACACTACCACGCACACAAGCCCTCACATGTACACTGACAGAGGCGCACGCAGACATGCATGCATATACAGTATAAATGCACACATGGGCCGATGCGTGCATGCACAAAAGGTTGCTGAAGTCACTTTTGTGGTATGTCTGAAGGTTAAGAGAAGCGGAGATGTGTTGTAATTACAAGTGCATCGACAGTGGAATATGTTAGGGCAGGTTAAGTTGGGGGGAGGACCTGGCAACATATCAAAGCTATCAGTGAGGCAAACCACCCCCTGTCTTGTATCAGCTCGCACAGAGGGAGTGCACAAATAAAAAGAGAATATACACAAAGCCTCCTATATTGTTTAAAAGCTGCAATCTCCCCACCTGGTCAAATCCCAGTCTTGTTGTTTGAGCTTCAGGCCAGGATAAATCAAGAGGGTTGAAACTCAAACTTTTACCCAAACACCTGACCAGGTGTGATAAACGCCCCACCGTCCTTTAATGACAGACAGATGACAACCTCGCTGTCCGGCCCATCCTGCCTGTTAACACAATCACCTGTCATCCACATCCGATGCCTCTGCACTTAAGTCTGTGCCTTTCACTTCCAGGCTCGTTCCGCACACGCTCAAAGTTTCAGCCTCTCTCTGTTATCTTCTCCTCACTTCCTGCTCTTTCTTTTTACAGTACGCACACAAAGCACGCCCTTCAAGTGGCCCACAGGTCATTCAGTCCGGTCTGTCTTGGTTTCACTCAGCTCCCCTCCTGTCGAGTGTCAAGGTGACAGAAAGGAGAAGAAACCTGACATTGTCTGGTAGTGATATTGTATGGGGGAGACGGGGGTGTTGTGTTTGAACTTGTCTAGCATGAGCTCAGGCTGTCTGTCTGTTTTTCAATGAGTAATCCATTGTAAGACTGAGCACACACACATACACACACACACACACTGGCAGGTTGTGTGACATGGCTCAAGTACAAGGAAAAGAGGAGTTTAAGCCTAAGGGAGATGGATGGGTGATGTGTGACATGAGGAGGCTGCTGGTTAGGTTAAAGAGTTTGTCTTCTTCTTAAAGAAAAGTATAAAGTTATTTATACCTAACATTGTCAAAGCTTTAACAATCTCCCCGCTCCCAGTTTCTTTTTATTAGCCACACTAGCGGAGTAGCTCTAGGGATGGAAATGTCAGTCTGTCTGTTGGTTGGTCCACCAATTTGGTCTGGACTGAAACATCTCAGCAACTACTGGATGCATGACCAAAACATTTGCTACACACGTACATGTCCCCCTCAAGATGAATTATAATAACTTGATCCCCTGACTTTTCATCTACCGCCATCATCAGTTCTCTATGGCCTAAGCTAGATATTAGCATACTAACAGACCAAACTAAGATGCTGAAGATGGTAAACATTAAGCATAAGCATGTTAGCTACAAGTATCAAGTAGTTATAGTAACCCTAACCCTAACAGACCAAAAGATATTTAATTTATTTTTATATAACATATAAACACTCAAGCAGAAACAAGTGAATGTTTGACATTTTTGTTTGGAAGAATTATTGAAACGATTAATTGATTAGTAAAATAGTCACAGATAATTCATTGATAATTTAACTAATCAATTCATTGATTAATTGTTGCAGCTCTAAACACAAGTTTAGTAAAATACTGGTAAAATGTAATAATGCATCTCAAGACATTTTGGATTGTAAACTGTTATTTTAAAGGACCAGTGTGTAACATTTAGTAGGATCTATTTGCAGATATGGAATATAATGTGCATAAATATAGGTTTCGTTAGTGTATGATCACCTAAATTTGATTTTTATTGCCTTATAATGACATGTGTTTATCTACAGACACCATATTGAACTGCAATGTGTCTACAGTAGCCCAGAAAGGACAAACCAAACACTGGATCTAGATAGGGGCCTTTGGGTTCATCATGCATTTTGTGGCCAACATAGTTTCTTCTTCGTGGATTTTTGATCCTCAGCTACACCGCTGCCACTAAATCCTACTCACTGGACCTTTAAAGGCAATGTATTGTTAAGCAGATATGTATGCTCTGTTTACCAGGGATATTAAGCACAGGTGTACAAATATATTATTTTAAATAATTTTATGCAAGGTACCACAGGAGTTCACTTTATATTATCATATCGTATTATAATATCAACATATTATCTTTTCTATCACTAAGGGGTTTCAGAGTCATACTCCAGGCTTTTATTTTCCACTGATTACAAGTCTAGACAAGCTGAGAATGTCATGTCTGTAAAAAGAGAACTCATATAGGTCCTATGCAACAATTCCTTTCTCACAATGCTTCGTATCCGTACAAAATCAGTAGTTAGCTGTATATGTTGTACTTCCAGTGTTTAACGTAGAAATCATTATTCATACTATACAAGAAAAAGACTCCAAATAAAGACGCCGTATCGTGTATCATTTGTAATCAAGCTGTGCCTTTGCTACATATAAAGGCTTGTTTATGATACACTGGAGACTCTTCAGTAGACTGTATAAACAGGATGCCTTTCAGAGACAGACAAATACAGCACACGCAGGTTTGGAGATTCCTCTGTGACAAGGCCAGGATATTATTTTGACAAAGTACCCACGCTGTACTAACAGTTCCTCCACATGAAGACCTGGTAAAAGTTTAATCTGCCCTTGCATGCTTTTCCGGTGTTTGCCTTGCTCTCACTGCACATCATTCAGACTGGAAAACATGAGGGAAATGAGAGTGGTGCCAAGTATATAGAATAAATTGGAACTGATGAAGCAGATAGGAGGAGAGTGGGAGAAGAGAACAGATGAGCTGTCTGAAAATACCCAAGAGAAATCAGAGATCAACAGAACACTGATCAGAGAGTGTATGTGAAAAGGTGGTGTGTACTGTTTAAGAAAATAAGAGTTTCTGCAAAAAACAGCAGGATAAAATGCACAGATACACAAACAGCTTAAAGGAGTCATTGACATGCAATGAATTATATGCTAAAAATGCCCTTAACCCTCACTCTTGGATAATCATATTCTCATACGATCAGATATTACTGTTGATAAATCTATTTTACACTGGCTACATTTAGCTTTTCTGTACTATTTTACTATAATACATATTGTACTATACTTTGCTACACTATAGCCTACCATAATATACTACATTAAGCATACAATACTACACACACTTCATTATACTTTTACTATATATAATACTTAACTATAAAATCCTACTTATACTGTATTTATTATACCATACTGCAATATACTGTATTTAGTACATGTTCTATTATTAAACTGACAATCCCTGCATAAGTAACATATTTGAAAGATATTATATTAAATGCATAACAATAACAGTACAGAACAACTGATTAACTGTAACATTTTTTTGTACGTTTAAAATTATATTCTAATCAAAACTTATTTTTTTTAAAAAACACTATTTAATTTAGGTTTTCTCAGATAAATTCATATTTTAAAAAATGCTTTCTGAAACCCCTTAAAATCAAGAAAGCCTTGCAACCCCCCCGTGAAGCTTTGTCGACCCCTATTGAGAGTCGGGACCTCCAGTTTAGGAACCAGTGCTATACTATACTATACTATACTATACTATACTATACTATAATAGACTTTACTGTGCTATGCTATGTAGTTGTATGGTACGGTATGACTCATAGGACATATCTCTCTTGCACATGAACATGATCACCAGTCCCGTCATTCCAGATGCACTGGCCTTGGTCTGTTCTAAGTGTTCCTTCTCTTTATGCTTGTTGAGCTCTTGTCACTGTTAAAAATCCATTTATTGACCACACACCATTGAACAATGGCGTTTTCTGTTGCATTCTTTGCCATTGGCAACATCTAATCAAATGATTCCAATGTGCTTCCATAACCACGTCCTTGAATGAAGCAGTTTCCTTGAGTGGTTGGCAGGCAACCGTCCTCATACTCATGTAGCCTACTGTCATTGAGAATCTGAGAGAAAGCTTTTTTTCTGGAGGCAGACAGTCATAGATGGACCTTGGAACAACTTAAATTGAAATATGTGTGAATAGAAGGCAAAAATACTACTGCTCTACTCAGTCTGACTGGGATTTTTTGCCACATTTTAGAATAATCTACATTATGAAAAGAGTAAGCACTCAACTAATTGAAGAGACTAACAATAACATTTGCTCTAATTTGGGTTGTGCAGCAAGAACTGCAGAAGAATAATATGTGGCGAGAAAATACATGTTACACTCACACCTACTGGCCAGTAGATGTACTAGCTCTGATGTAGGGGATTTCACTGGTTAGTTCCTCCTATATGTTGGAAGTACTAATGAAACCAGCTGCTGCAGTGTCTCGTTTAGGCCCCCGTAGCACATAACTGCTTATTCCTGGCCTAAAGATGTGTAATTGATTAACTTAAAATCAATTAAGAAACTTTCTAAAACGTTTCAGTCGTGAATAGACCCCTGTCCTATTCCAAACGTACGTGGAACGCATGTTACGTCACTCACAACTTGAACACAATGATGCTTTCAATTACAGTCGAAAATGTTAGCATTAGATTCTGAATCACAGTTTAAATGACTCCAAAAAGTTTTTTATGGTTACATTGGAAGCCGAATTGTAGAACTTTTAATATTGTTTGGTGCTAACAGCGATGTATACAACATATCTATATCTATAGTAAATCATGTTATCAAACGTGTTTCTAATGTACAATGCTCCACTTCATCTGTATCAGTCCAGCACACAGTAGCAATTTGCGGGTTCATATATAACACTCAAATATCCACAAGAAATGTTTTTGTTGCACTGGTGGCTTTGGGGAATATTAACCATGAAAGGCGTTTAAAAGTGTGACTGTCGTATTAACGTGTAATTAGATGTCAGAGCTCCGGAGGAACACGTGAAGGCAACAAAAGTTCAGTCTACAGAGTTGTGACATCTGTGGCCATGGAGGAAAAACAGAGCAGTACGGAAACCAATTTTACTCCAGGTATCATGTAAAAATTGTTTTTTGACCCCCTTAGTGTGGTAGTAGAGTAAGTTATTGAAATTGACGACGTTGTGAGAAGTTACCACAGAACCGTTAGCTTCCCGAGGAAGCACTGCCACTGTTCACACTGAGTAGCCAGCTGTGTTTAGCAGCTAACGCCAAGTGTTGTGTGTTGTTAAAGTAAAGTGACTCTGGCACACTTTATTTTGAGTTATAACGAGCTAACATGACTGTTGAAAAGGCATGTGGGTCACACACACATTTTAGCAGCCTCTGTATGTTAAATTCAGGTCAGTTCATCGGAGACACACAGAAGCATAAAGTTAGACTCCATGTAACCTAGTTTCTCCTAGATATCTGCAAGGCTAGAACGAAACGTCAAAGGAAAATACGCTCAAAAACATTTCTCATAGGTCACCTTAACATAACTTATGGAGTATGACATATAAGACCTCATATCGATCAGTGGGGTCTTCTGTTAAATTCGGCTCGTAGTCGATCCACCAAACAGCGTTTAAAATAAAACCACAACGTTCTTACTCATTGTACACACCTATGATGAATGTGTATTTAATGTGTTTAAATGTGTCACTTGTGTTGGGATTCCTCCACGATGTGCCTGAATGAAACTGCTACCTTTAAGTTAATAATTAAGCTTTTATCACCTTAGACCCAGGGGGAGCAGGATCAACACAAGATGCCCCACGTGATCGAAGCCCAGAGGAGATGATCAGCAGGCAGATGAGTGAACAGAGCCGCTTTGCTTATGCTGCTCTGTGTGGTGTCTCTCTGGGACAGTTGTTTGCTGGACCTGATAACAGGTGACAGAGCCATGGGGATCGTGACATTATGTGTGTGTCCTTGGGTTGAAGAGTATTTGCTTCAGTTTTTAGACTAATTCAATCTAACATGTTATTTAAGGGATACGTGAGTGATAAGTTATGAATATTTGGCCAGTGTGATTAATTATCAGACATACGCACACACATGAGGCGATATTGGTCCTGAATGCACCTTTGATTTGATTATTTTTTTATTACATATGTTTTCTAGATAAATTGATCTAGGCTCTTCATAATGTTAAAAACTGGAAAATCATATGTGGACTTGCAGATGCGGGTGTGCATGTGGTCCTCCACCAAGGTCCAATAAAAGTGGGTGAGAAGGGGACCTTAGACATAAAAAAAAAAAATGTGGGTGTTTGATGTTAAATGATAGTAGCTGGTTAGAACCTCCAAGAAATAGGACTCACCTTTTATTAATTTATTAAATAAAACATTTCTGAATGCTTCCACTTGCGAATAACCGCTTCGATTAACAACCATCTAGCTGAACTGTGAATAATAAAGCTTTAACTGAACTGTTACTCGACTTGAGGAGATAAGTTGTTGTTTGTTTCTCAGAGTGTTCAGGGAGCAGTATCTGCAGAGCTTGGTCCGCTGGCTGGACCTGGATGAGTCAGTGATGCCAGTTATGGGGGCTTTCCTGTCAGGCCTGGGCTTCGAGGGCTCCGACACCTTCCTCTCCATCCTACACGCCGAACCGCTGCTGGCTGCTGGGGCCACCCCCATCATACAGGTGTTTGTCACTCTAATAGAGGATGCAATGGCATTACACTGTAATGCTCCCTATGGGAAATTGGATTATTGCAACAACAAATAGGAATATGATTAGGAAAGTGTAAATGGGTTGTTGTTCAGTCAGTCAGTTTTTTTTTTACAATAAATGAACAATAACTACAGAAATATGCAAAGTAAAATAATAAGAATCCCAAATGTTATTTAATTCAAAATGATTTGGGGGGTTTGATAGGATTGTTATGATTATGCTAATACAACAAATACGCTTTTTTGCTTTGTTTTTAACAACACTAATTCAGTTGCGTTGCACTAATTTTGTCTGGATTTCTACAAATGCGCCTGTTATAACCCAGCTGTCACCTTGTATTTCAGGATCTGGTGTCTTTTTCTGTGAAAGACGGTAAGAATCCCTTCATGAATTATTCCGACCTTGAGTTGCTGTAAATTCCTATGAGCTTGTTACTTTATAACTTCCATGGTCTGTCGTGTACTCAGGCCAGTATGATGCCAGAGCGAGGGTTCTCATCCGTCATGTCAGCTGTCTGTTGCGAGTCGTTCAACAGCAGCTGGAGGAGTTTGAGGAAACACTGGGAGAGAAGCTGAGGGAAGGAGGAGAGGAGAGCGAGTAAGTTATGGTTAGGTGGAAGGATAGATGATTGACTGTGACTGAGTCAGTAGCAATGTTTAAATGGTGCCTTTTGAAAACCCACTAATAGGAAATGTCAGTTTGGTTTGTTCTAAACCTTAAACCTCAATTAATTAAAAATACGAAATGTTCTGGCTTAAAATCTTTTTGCTGAATCTTGTGTGTGTCTGACTGTTGAAACAACACTGGCATCTTTAATGCACCAGAAGAGTCATTTGACATTTTTATTTTTAGAGCTAGTGAATATTTCAACTTATACAGATCATCTGTCTGAATGTATCTCCATCAGAGAGGAGTCCTCCCGGCGGCTGAAGAGAGAAAGAGGGCGAAAGTTACGACGCTACCTCCTCATTGGTCTTGCCACCGTAGGCGGAGGAACTGTGATTGGTAATTATTCCTGCTTCAAGTGCTTTTGAAAACCTTAAATAGACATTTAAAACATCTGTTATCTTATGTAGATGCATAGACTTCAACTGATGAGGTAATCAGCTGATAATTCAATCACCATCGACCGTGCAGACAATCAGAATAATCTATGAAGAGTTCTGTTTCTCCTTCTGTAGACTTAACTTTTCTCTGAAATGCATCACCTTACAGATACTGGCAGCTCTTTCTCTGTGCTGACTGCACTCTTTGTGCCTTTGCCAGGTGTGACAGGTGGGCTGGCAGCCCCCTTCGTGGCAGCAGGGGCCAGTGCTGTGCTGGGGGCAGGAGGGGCTGCTGCTCTGGGCTCAGCCACTGGCATTGCAATCATGGCCTCCCTGTTTGGAGCTGCAGGAGCTGGATTGACTGGTGAGTGTGCGTGGATGACACGTGATTGTGTGCGTAAAGAAGTTATCATTCGAATTTTGACTGAACTTCATAAATTCATGTTTTTGTGGTGTTTTTATGTGTGTAGCTTTTCTTATCTTCTGCATGATTTTTGCTCTACCATTACTTCATTTTTTCATACCGTGATTTTCCAGGTTATAAGATGAATAAGTGTGTTGGGGCAATAGAGGAATTTGAATTCCTGCCACTGAGCTCCGGAAAGCATCTTCACCTGACCATCGCAGTGACAGGTTGGCTCTGCAGTGGTAAATACAGTAAGTATGTCTTCTACTGTCTCACTACAACCACCTACAATTTGGACAATATGAATCCTCTGTCATAGTATATGTCATTTTACATTGCAATATCCATATTCAGTTTATCATAGTGTAGTACGTTTTCTGTAAAATTGAAATGAGAACATTTTCATGAATAAAATAACAAGGTAGGAAATCTTTTGACATTATGGTATAACAATTGGATTTAATCCTACAACTACATTGGACACGTACAATGTGTGTAATGAAGTCAGAGCAAATAATTTTATCTTCCAATAGCTGTCTTTACCATAACAGCTAAGCCTGCATAGTTCACTTTACAGAGCACTGAATAAATTACAGTCGTGATCAGGTTTTTTTTACCATTTCAGTGCCAGGGCCATCACGTCCACATGCCCAAGGGAAACTTCACCAAATACTAGATTAGCAAACATAGCCAATGTTACACAATCTTTAATTCATTAAAGGTTCAGTGTGAGGTTTAAGGGCTCAGCTAGGCCGATTCCATTGTTCATTATATACTAGATAATTTCTATAGAAATCGCAGGGGGATTGCTGGCTGCTGAGAAGCTGACACTGACCTGTATTGCTTGATGAACAGCTGGGAGTTAAACTGCAATGCAGAGTTGGAATAGTAGGAAAGAGATAAAGGGAGTGAATTTTAGTGTAAGCGATGAAAGCTGTTAAAATAAGAATTATTGTGTAAGGACTTTAATGAGCTTAAAAGTATGGAGAAGGAGTTGAGGTGTCATTTAAGTGACTTTAGTTGGAATAACGTAAACCATCAGCTGAGCCCTATAAACACTGCCATGTACTTGCAGGAGCTGAGTTGCATGTGTGTGTTTGTGTGTAAAGAAACTTTTTTTTTGTCTTAAGGGCTCATTTAGTCTACTGTAAGTTCCTGTTTTGGGGGTTTTTATTTTGAAAATTGGAGCCTTCTCCAATGTCACCCTACAAGCTCTTGTTTCTATCTAGGGGCTTTTATTTTGAAAACCCTACTTTCTCCATGCTGGTCAACAGGAATCCAACAGTTTAAGAAAATCATTTGATGACTGTGGTAAAATTGAGCAAAGGTCTGCACATAATTTTCTGAAACTATACCAGCAGAGTGTCCACATGACAGCATGCAAACAAACCACTTACATAAAACCATGCAGCTCTCTTCCCCCACTAAAAAATACACTCCGTTACAAGCTTAGTACCCCCTTCAAGTACAATGGCTCAAAAAACACTTCACTTACAAGTGCTGCTTAGTCGTTTGCCTACATAAAAGCACAACTGCTGTCTTCCAGGTTCGTTCCAGGCCCCGTGGTGCAGCCTGGGCGAGTGCGGGGAACAGTATTGCCTGGTGTGGGAGTCACGCTTCCTCAGAGACCTCGGCTCAGCCATGGCCTCTCTGTTGGATGGGCTGGTCAGCATGGTGGCCCAAGAAGCACTCAAGTACACAGTGCTCTCAGGTAGTAGGATGGTTATGTAGTTCAGTGGATACAGGAGTGTCTGAGCTTCTGGGGAAATATAGTCTGTTCTGAACTTTACACATGGGATGTAAAAAGGAGTCTTATCTAACCTTTGTTGCATTGACCCATGTCTCTTACACCGTCACACTGTCCAGGCATCGTGGCGGCTCTGACGTGGCCTGCATCGTTGCTGGCAGCAGCCAGCGTCATTGACAACCCTTGGTCTGTTTGTCTGAACCGCTCGGCTGAGGTGGGGAAACACCTGGCCCAGGTTTTGAGAAGCAGACAGCAGGTATTGTACTGCCTCTTACCTCTGTTAAGACACATTTTACTGTAGTGAACCACAGTACTGTGTCAGCTGTCGCTCTGGAAGGGTTAGTTTTATATTATGTGTGTACATTATTAATTTAATTAGTTCAACTTCAAACATGTTTCTGTTCTTTGTATTTGTAGAATTAAAGAACCAAACTTTAAATTAAATGCCATATTTATTAACCTGAAATACACACAAGGAAGATGAAAGCGTCTTCAGAATTGTGCAACTCTTTTCTTTCTTTCTGTATTTGAAGGGGAAGCGGCCTGTCAGTCTCATAGGATTCAGTCTTGGGGCCAGAGTTATCTACTACTGTCTACAGGAGCTTGCCAATGACCAAGGTATCAACACCTCTCTATTGATAGACCATATTATGATTATGCATTGGAATTTGATTCACATCCACATTTTCTTGCAGTGACTCAGTTTGATTTTCAAAACGTCCTACATAAGACAGTTCTGAAGTTGTGACTTTTAAAATCCTCGTCTTTTCTGCAAAGGCACTGGTGGAGCAGAGCAGAGTAGAATTGTTAGGGTGGGCCTAAATAATAAGCATTTAAATGTGGTTATAACTTGTGTAATCAAAGCATAATTAACCTAGTTCAGTTTCATTGTCGATCTTTTTTTGTTTTTGTGATTCCTCAGGTAGTGAAGGCGTAGTGGAGGATGTAGTCCTCTTGGGGGCCCCTGTGGATGGCTCTGAAAAGGCCTGGGAGAGAATGACCAAGGTAGTCGCTGGAAGAATAGTGAACGGCTACTGCAGGTAATCAGACAAGGCTCTATCCTGCAGTATGTATTTAGGGTAAATGCAGTAAATGCTTACAGCTGCCTTATAGTTTTGATATACTCATTGTGTATTTGAGGTCCCATATTGTGGTTGCAGTGGATTCAGAATGTATGGTCTTGATTTGTGTTTTAAGTATTGCAAATGACCTTGTGAACTATCCACCTATCAGAGGGGACTGGCTCCTGGGGTTCTTGTACCGGAGTTCATCTGCACAACTGTGTGTTGCTGGGCTACAGCCAATCAACATCCAGGATCGGCGTATAATCAATGTGGATCTTTCCTCCGTGGTGAGTCAAAGCTTCTATTTAAATTTAGGACCACAATTTTTTTCCTTAACAAGTAGTTTTTCAGGTACACATGAGCAGAAGATTATTTATTCTTTCACCTTTCAAGAAAAGCCACATGAAGCAGTCGCCTCCAATAGACACTTTTCGAGCATATAAATGTCACATTTGGTTGTAAAATCTGGAGTTGCCAAACTTTTTTATGTTGAGGACCCCCAGGATTTTTTTATTTTAGATTTGAAGATAATGAAGTCTTCATAGTCAATCCAGGATCAGACTAGAATCATATTAATTACTGTCAATCAAAACGGCCAACCCTATTTTTACCTTGTTCCAACTTCCAAAACACGATACAATGTAAAATATTTTCCTCCTTTTGGTGGGGACCCCCTACAAACCACTCAGTTTGTGAAGCACTGTGTTAGAAAAGAGTCGTAAAATAATATACAGGAAGTGGTCCTTGACTCATTGATGAGAACCACACAACCATACATGACACTGCTCGCAACATCCTCTCCAAAATGTACAGTGTGTGCAGCTAGTCTTCCATATTCATGTCTCTGTTGGTCATGAAGTCATTCAGTCAGTAATGTTTTCTCTCTGGTTTAATAGTTACTGATTTCAGAGAGTGTCCATTTGCTATACTTTTTCAGTTTTTATTGGCTGTGGTCCACAACTGCAATAATCTCTGTCATTGGTTTGTTCTTGACTGTAGTGTCTTTCTTCACTATGAAGCTTACTGTGTCCCTTAAGTATTAATTGATTTAAAAAAGGGGAAAAATGATGGGCCACTTGGACCAGTGTAACAAGCTGTAAACACAACACTGACTTATTATCACCATGTCAATTTTTATGGCAGACATGATGTTCGCAAACAGTTGCCCATTTACACATCCAGCAGATACAGAGTGACATTAGCATTCATTTGGAGATGTGTTTCTGGGAAATAGTCAGTCATTTACTTAAGCTGCTAAATGCTCCACTGTGTTCACCAGTTAGTCTCCAACTGTGTCTGTCTGCTGTTTGGTGCTGAGCAGGTAGTTTACAGAGGGCCTAGCAGAGCTTTTTCACTGTCAATGGCTGCCTGTTGCTGCTGTAAACGAGGGTAATGAGAGCGATGAGACTGAACAGTTAAGTTGCAGGCGGTTAAACCAAAACAGTGAGCTGGAAGACGTAGAAACACACTGTAGAGCCTGGTGGTAGTTTTTTGTGTGATCATCACGATGAGCGACCCCCGAATAAACTGTTATGAGATATCATTTTTGTAATGCAGTGTTATTAAATACAGAATTTTTATTAGCATTTCAAAAGACAGTTGTATTGTTTAAATAAAATTGAAAGTTAAGAAAAGAATAAGGCCCCTGCTGGTCTGTTTCAGTTCACAGCAATGCCTTTCTGCAACCCTTGTAAATCAACATCATTCCACATGAAACGTCACACTTATGGTAGTTATTTTGTTTAACCAGGTAAAGTAAAAATTTCACTCAACTGAACATTTAAAAAAAAAAGAGTAAAAAGATACTTGACGTCTGAAGCACCATACGCTATATATCTGGTCATATAATGTGAGGAGTAGGAAACTTTGACAAATATGAAAAGGACAGATTTGTACAAAGTAGTTATCTTTAAAAAACTGAAATTACACAGTGTCATTTACAAGGAAATATGTGTCGTTTTTAGTCAGAGACGTAACCATGTTCCTGCTTCCCAGGTGAAAGGTCACTTAGACTACATGCGGCAGATGGACACCATCTTGGTGGCAGTAGGAGTTCCCACCAAAGAAGTCCCAGGTGCCTCTTTTGCCCTTCCTCAGCCTGTTACAAAGACAGCGGACATCCCTGACCAAAACCCCGATGAGCAACAAGCGACTGAGACACAAAACCAGGCCGAGGAGGCTCGTACAGAAGAGAGTGGATACATGAAAGATGTGGCAGAGACAGAGGAGATGGGTGACGGTTGGGATATCCCTGATATTTCAGACCTGCTGGACTTAAACGATACAGAATCAGAGAGTCATATCGGAGTCAGGGACAATTTACCGCTTACTTCGGAGGAAAACGGCACTAATGAAGGCACGACCTCTGCTTTAAATGCCCCGTGTGACAGTGTGGAGGAGGCTGATAATGAACACGTATCATGGAGCTGGGATGATACACACTGGACTGTAGAGCACACACACACAAACAAAGGCGGCCAAACTTGTAAAGAGCATGTTACAGGACCTGCTTCCCTGTAAAATCTCGTCTTCTCAAGTTTTTTTTTTTTTAGCGTCGAAGCTTTGTCGGAGAAAACATTAATTCCATTCTCAACACACTGACACACCAGAGACGGCAATCACAATGCACACATATGGCAGCCTTAAGTGAAAAGCCCCCTGAATTAACCGCTTGGTTTGACCGCAGAATGGTGTTTTGAGACTGTCGACTTAATTTAATAACAATTTTTAGAGTTTTGTAAATGACAGATTTTTTTACAAACTGTAAATAGTGTCATTTATTTTCTGATCTCACTGTGAGATTAAATAGCTGTATATATAATATTGTGTTTTGCAGCTTTTAGAGGATGCTACCAAATAGGTGATATCTCTGTTCTTCTCGCCCTTCTAATTCTCATCCGCTGGCTTGGTTGCTATGGATATTATCACAGCAATTTGATTTCCACAAGGCCGGGGGCAGCTCAGTGAATGTGTTTTCTTCAAGGCCTTTCTATTCTCGATTCCACCCATACCAATGTGAAGAGCTGCTGTCTGCGGAGTTTACCAAGAGCTAAGTTACAATGTATGGCCGCTGATAATGGGAGATTTGTTGGGGTAATGCATTGCTTTCTTCAACCTCATTTCTTAACTGGAAAGAAACACTTAATTCAAGCAAGGTTGGAGCTGATTTTGCGTTTGTAGACATTTTTTCTGTGACCATAAAAATAATGAATTTCAAATTTGATTCTTTTTTATTTTATCTAAGGCCTAAGCCTCTCAACTGCAAGTAAATCCATATTTCCATCATTGCTATTCAGTCCAGGGTGTCGACCTGATTGGGCAGAAGCAGAGGCAACTCGATGCCAGCGTGCTCAGCGTCCAGCAGGTTGACGGCATCGGTGGCAGTGGCGGGGGGGTGAGTGGGGTCAGAGGCCAGGGGAGAGGGGGGGTTGCTGGCGAGGTTAGGCTCCCCTGAGTTGCGGAGAGAGAGGGAGAGCACCGGAGAGGGTCTTCTGGTTGACCGCGAGAAACAGCAGGGCAAGAGCTTCCCCAGAGCTCGCTTGAAGTCTCTCATGAACAGCGGGTAGATGATGGGGTTCATTGTGCTGTTGCAATAGCCCAGCCAGGTGATGGCGTCAAAGAGCGCGAGGGGGACGCACTCACACACTGCCTGAATGAAGACAGTGACAAATATCACAGGCATTAAGGCAGGATAAGACTAAATGAGGAAATAAATAGAAAAAATGGGCATAGAAATAAATACATAATCTGAAAGGCACCCTTTTTTGACCCCATAGTAGCACTATAGCACTGTTGGGCAATGCAATACACACACATACACATATTTATAAAGGTCCAGTGTGTAACATTTAGAGGATCTATTGGCAGAAATGGAAAATAATATTTATAGGTATGTTTTCCATAGTGTATAGTTACCTGAAAATGAGAATGGTTTTGGGGTTTTTTTAACCTTGAAATCAGCCGTTTTTATCTACAGAGAGAGTAGGTCCTTTTCAACGGAGGCCAACATTTTTAACCGGCATGTTTCTACAGTAGCCCAGAACGGACAAACCGAACACAGGGCTTGTTTTTCGCCAGTTCCGCAGCCACTGACGTTTCTCCTACACACTTGGAAGGTGAGTGGTATTCAAAGTGTTGCAATGTGCAACTTCACCTATAGATGCCACTGGACCCTACACACTGGTCCTTCAAATACAAATGAGTACAGTCTATTTATGTATTGTTGTTTAATGTATTTATCCTTTTGCCAAAATAGTTAATATTTATTAATTTCTATAAAAAACAAGTTATGGAAAAACTTGGATATAAATAAATGTAGATATGAACCTGAAAATAAAGAATAAATATAAAAATAACTTGAATGGGCAATATGCCTTTTTGCAACATATTTTTAGCTGTACACATTTATTTATAATTTATTGCACACATTTTTTTTTATCATTATTTACTTTCCATTTCCATTTTTGGGCCACCATAAAATTCAAGTAGCTGAGTTGGGAAATGATCAAAAAACAGTTACACATAAGGAAATGACTTAAATAGATTCATTCATTCACACATTTATGTACCCTTGGTTTGTTTTTGATTAATTTTGAATATTTATGTACCTTCCCTGTGCTTTTTGAGCCTGTAATCATCCAAAAAAAATTCTTTCTCACCAGCCTCATAGGTTGTCCATCACTCCTTCTTATGGAACATCATCACTAATTTTCCGTGAATAGAACTTGCAGATACATTTGCGTCTGATTGTTGAAAACAGTGATGTTGAACATATAACCACTAGGTTCAGAGAAGGACGGTGAAGGAGGAGACAGCTGTTAGAGGAGAGCTTCCAATACTATCAAGATGAGACGGGGAGGCGGTGGGAATAGGACAGAAAGGAGGGGTGCATTTCACACACCACATTGAGTGTGAAAAGGAAAGAGAAAGCAGACACAGTCAAGTCTCTGTGCTCTATGTTATGCAGGGGAGAAGCGAGAGGGCACAGATGGGAAATCAAAATGACTGGATCATTGAAAGCTTGAAAAACAGGACAAGTGTCATTACCAATTTAGATTAAGCTGTTTTTGACATCCATTTGCTCTCGCCGAGCTTTTTGTGGCCACCGATGTTTGTTTGCTTAGCAGTGAGTGCGTGTGCTCAAACCTAATCAAATCCAAATCAACAACTTAAAAAGAATACCAATTATAAAGGGTCTTTTGGTGTGTTGTTCTCTGGGTTTTGGAATGAGTCAGCCACACGAAGCTGAAATGCCAATCTATCTCCTCGTTGGATAGCTTGGCAAGGCTGTGACGCCAAAGCTGGCCAATACAAAAATAGACTGGTATCCAAGTGTTTTTCTTTTTTTCGTTTGAATTTATCTCACACGGTTTTAGTTCCCATCACACATACATTTGTGACCAAACGGACAAGAAAAGCCTCTGAGTCACAGATAATAGGTTATGGAATAGGAGAGCTAACAACCTCTGACTTTTTGGAGATAGTTTAAATCTTTATATTAAAGAATGTATGTGCATATAAGTGAAGGCAACCATCCAAGCTCATCTGATCATGTATCTCACGTCCATGACTTGTTTGACATATCACATGAACATTCATATACACCTGTAGTTTTTATCCTTATTGACAAAATGTCTGTGTTATATCCGTGGTAGAGTCAGTGTTTGGTTCCTCTACTGACCTGAGCCATGTTGGTGATGAAAAAGGGTAGCCAAGCACTGAAGAAGAGTCCCAGGAGGACTCCCAGGGTCAGACTGGCCTTCAGTGCCCTCCGACCCTGTCTGTGAGCCAGACGACGCTCACTGTTCACTGATGGCTGCGGACAGTAGAGAACAATAGAAATAGTTAATCCTAGAATTATAGACACAATGTAAATCCCTATCCTTGGTATTTTGGAAAAGTATATGGCCTCTCTGACAAGCAAATGACATTATTTTAATTCATTTTGACTTCCTTTATGCATTTAATTAGTGCATGTTTTTACATTTACATTTGTGTATCGATTAAATAAACCAGATTCATTTGTTAGCTTTAGAGGTGTTTCTTTTTTTTAAACTTTTGACAGAGCCAAGCTAGCTGTTTCCCCCTGTTTCCAGTCTTTATACCGAGCTAAGCTGTTCGCCTCCTGCCTGTAGCTCCATAGTTAACACACAAACATGAGAGTGGTCTTGATCTTTTCATCTAATTCTCTGTAAGTGCATTTCCAGAAAATATTGCTTTAAAACTTAGATAAAATACATATGTTTAAAGGACCAGTGTGTAGGATTTAGTGGCATCTAACAGTGCATTTTTTAGATTGGAACTAACTGAACACCGTTCAAGTTGTCATTACAACCTGGGTAGGAGAACAGGCTGGGGAGTGTGTAGAAGAAACTACGGTAAATGGAAAACACGAAAGGTCCTATCTACAGCCAGTGTTTGGTTTGTCCGTACTGGGCTACTGTAGAAACATGGCGGTTGAACATGGCGGACTCCATGTGACCAGCAGTGTCTGTATGTAAAAACGACTCATTCTAATGTAATGAAAAGTCAATGATTCTTATATTTGGGTTATTATACACGAATGAAAACGTACCTATGAATATTATATTCCATATAATGAATCCACCTAAATGTTACACACTGGACCTTTAATGTTTCTTTTCCATTTCACAAGAATATATTTTATTTATTTTATTTATGGTAAAAGAAAATATAATGTTATGACATCTTAAACTTCATTGACCAGTGGGCCGTTCATTATAAACTCAGGTTGTGCTGAAAAACACTGCTGAAACCGACAGAGTTAGATTTTACATTTTAGCCGAGCTCATGAAAACCCCAAAGAAAACCAAATGTGTCAGGCTTAATTGTAGAAAATACATTTGATGGTGCATCCATAAGAAGTCTGAATATTACCCATAGTGTCAGATTCATTTGTTGGTACAAGCTGACACAGAATATTTATGATGAATCAAAGAATTACCAGTTACCAGATTTTTTGAGCAGATTTTTAGATTTTTTAATTCAGCATTGACTGTTCTGGTGTGCATGAGTGTGTGTGTGTGTGTGTGTGTGTGTGTGTGTGTGTGTGTGTGTGTGTGTGTGTGTGTGTGTGTGTGTGTGTGTGTGTGGGGGGTGTGTGTGTGTGTGTGTGTGTGTGTGTGTGTTTTTTTTTTTTACTGCCGGCAAATGTGACAGACTATGTGGCTGTGATCCTTACAGACGGGGGCAACATATCTGACAAGGTCTCTATTTTTCTCCTAGATTTCTGGGCAGGTTTTACATCTCTTCTCTTTTCACTGGATCTCTACTTTTCATACATTCAGGGCTTTAAGTTAATATTAGTATTATTATAATTAAATTAAGTTAATTTTAGCTCTACATTATCTACTAGCAGTTATTTCTACATCATAATAGCCTGATAATGAAGACTAAAGTTTGAAATTCATGAAAAGTAAAATCATTTTTAAATGTTCAATGGCATCGTCTACATTTAATAACAATACTGCAGGGTATTTGCTATGTCAACAGACTTTGTTTAATCACTAAACCTCCACATGGTCCTTTTCATTGAAAGAGGCTCATCCTACTGCACTGTCACGACACAGATCTACACTATTAAATGGTACATACACTTGATCTCCAAAAATTACTGCTTTCTTTATTGGTTGACCACAACAACTCTGCATTGTTGAACACAAAGTAGTTGGCACGAAGTACCAAAACTGTTTGGTTCCAAGTCAGCCACACCACACTTTCAGATATACAAACTAGGTCAACTGCAAGGCACTTTTATAATTAAACACATCAGGACAGTCAAGGGGGTCTAGACTCAAATCTTAGGTCTCAGAAAGAATAAAATGCGGGGGGAAAAAAACAGCATTCTTGAATTCTTCTTTTACATTTTACATTATAGTGGTCTATAATCATTCAACATACTCCAGCCAGGTTTATAATTGCTGCACTTAGATGATATTAAACTTCAGAGTGGATTTCAACAGTATCATTTGCATTTTACAGTAATGGCATGAGAAGTAGGTGTGAACAGTATTATGCAAAACCTTAAAAATGTCAAGGAAAAGACAAGCTTGAGAACTCTTACAATAAATGGACAACTGTAATTTGGTTATTATCTTTGTGCTACCTTCTCCACTCACAGAATCAATCTTTTCAACTCTCATTAAAGTCTGCTCTATTTAAAGGCCACTCCTCTATTTCAGTTTGGCTTTCACATAGA